AAATATAATTAAATTACAAATTTGACCAATGTGAAATCTACTTTTAAAAGGTAAAATAGGCGAACGACATTTCGCTAAGGACTTTCGTGCTTTTAATATAGTATAAATAAAATAGAGTTCTAGAATCAACTTTTATTTCTTGAATAAACTCCATCTCTCATTTTGTGTTGAATAATTACTTCAAGCAAAGTTCTACTCTATTTTTGTGTGCGATGACAACAAAATTTAAAACAAAACTATAATATCCACTTCCACTAATATGATAAGTATGATATATTCTCATTGCTCCTTTTTTGAAATAATTTGTTCCAAAGAATAAAGAGAGGCGAATCAATGACCAAATTAATCTTATAGCCTATTTGGCCAAGTTGTAAAATCAGTTTATTTTGCTATGTTCAAAAGTACTTTGGTTGAGAAACGGTTTGTGTTTGGCTAACTAATTTGAAAAATACTTCTGAGCAGCAATTAGTGTTTGACCAAGCTTATAAAAACTGCTTCTAAGTATTTTTTTTCTCAAAAGTGCTTTTCAAAAAAATGCATTTGGAGAGAAGCTACTTTTTTTTGCTTCTCCAAAATTGCTTCTGCTTCTGCTCAAAGGATATTTTTTCTTCTAAAAGTTTGGCCAAACACTTAAACTTTGAAAAAAAAGCTTCTAGGATTGGAGAAGCTTGGCCAACCAAGCTATTATACTACTCCTGTAACGACCTGACTGGTCGTTTTGAGCAATTGCGCCCGGTTCGGCAGTTCGAGGTCAAGAGCAGCTTCACATTATGTATATCGACTGGTGTGCATGGTTGGATTCAGTTTTCGGATGAATCGGAGTCGAATTGGAAAGAAGGAATATAGTTCTGGAAGCTTAAGCGGAGAGAATTTGACCGGAATTTGACTTTTGAATAAACGGCTCCGGAATGAGTTTTGGATGATGTCAGTAGCTTCGTATGATGATTTTAGACTTGGGAGTGTATTCGGATTTGGGTTTGGAGGCCCGTAGGGTAATTTGTGGCATTTTGGTGAAAGTTGGAAAGTTGAAGTTTGGAAAATGGAGAGGTTTGACCCATAGTTGACTTTTATGTTATCAATGTCGGAATGCGATTCCGAAAGTTGGAACAGCTCCGTTATGTCATTTGGGACTTGCCTGTAAAATTTGGTGTCGTTTGGAGTTGATTTGATATGGTTCGGACGCTTGGTTACAATTCTAGAGGTTCTTGAAGTTCATAGTGGTTTTCATGCGTTTGGGCATCTAACTCGTGGTCTTAGCGATGTTTGAAGTGATTTGAAAGTGGGGCCAAGTTCGTATGATGTTATGGGATGTGTTGGTACATTTGGTTGAGGTTCCGGGGGCCTCGGGTGAGTTTCGGGTAGGTTCCGGGATGTTTTAGGCTTAAAACATAGTTGTTGCAGGTTCAGAGAAGTTGCAGATCTCTGAACCCGCGAGTGCGGTCTGCAATGATTTTGTGCTACCGCGGAGGGGCCTTTGCGGCCGAAAAAGATTTTGTGCGGTCCGCGGTGGAGACTTTGCGGCCGCACTCGATTTTGTGCGGTCCGCGGTGAGGAAGAATCTGCAGGTTCACTGGTCTGACTTCGGAAGCCAATATCTTTTGATCTACAAGGAATTTTGAGATGATTCAAAAACAAAAGTTGTAGCCCTCTGTGTCTAGTTTCCACAAAGGTAAAGAAATTATAATTTGGGCATCTGTAGAGAAAGTTATGGCCAAAATACTAAAGTATGTCACTGCAGTCAACATTCTCCGCGGTAGCGGTGGATTTACCGCGGTCAGAGGTGAAGGACCGCGGTCAGCGGTGGTTTTTTTTGCGGTTAGAGTGATGGGAATCTGGGAAGTGCACTATAAATACGGGGTTTATGGTTTTATTTCATATTTTGACCTAGAGAGCTCGGATCTTGGCGATATTTCGAAGGTTTTTCAAGAAATTCATCGGGGTAAGTGATTCTAACTCGGATTTGGTTAGAATACATGAATCTATCATTGAATTCATCATTTGATTCGTGATTTGGGATGGAATTTGGGGAAAATTTGTAAAGTTCTCATGATTTGAAGGACCAAATGGTATCGGAATTGGATAATTTTTGCATGGGTGAACTCGTATCGGAATGGGTATTCAATTTTTGTAAATTTTATCGGGTTCCGAGGTGCGGGCCCGGAGAGTTGATTTTTGTTGACTTTTTGCAAATTGTATAAGAATCATAGTTTTGTTAATTGGGATTATTTTCTATTGCATTGTTAGATGTATTCAAGTCGTTTTTGGTTAGATTAGCCGAGCGTTGATGAATTGGTAAAGGAAAAGCTAAATTGAGTATTGAATTGGCCGGATTGAGGTAAGTATCTTGCCTAACCTTGTGTGGGGGACTTCCCCTTAGGAATTGAGTCTTCTATGCTAATTATAGTCCATGCATGTGTGGTGACGAGTGTGTGCTCGGACTTATTTGTGGGAAATTTGCCTCTAGGGTTCTTAGATCCTTATGTGGAAAGTATCCCGTTATGATTGGGTTTCCTAATTGCTTAAATTGCCTCTATATGCTCCATATGACGTTGCTAGCTTTTCTCATATTCTTACGTGTTACATTGACCCTTAATTGCCTTAATTGAAGGGATTGCCTTCCTTATTGTGTTGATACTTCTTGATTGTGAGTTCCTCTATGACTTTGTGCAAATATGTTACATGTCCAATGGTTGTGGTTGCCGGTGTAATTAACACGTGCTTATTATGTCTTGTTGTCTTGTTGAGGTTATCGTGCTTCTTGGTCTTTTCGTGACCTTTATTATCTACTTGTTGATTCCTTTGCCGGGATGTTATTGCTTATGATATTGTTTCCCTTGCCGGGAATTGTTGTTATACTCTTGTTCCCTTGCCGGGATTCTTTTATGATTGATGTTGATTTGTAAATGGGAGCGGGTTGCACGCCTGCAACAAGATATATGAAATAGGATCGGGTTGCACGCCCGCAACAAGATATATGAAATGGGATCGGGTTGCACGCCTGCAACAAGATATATGAAATGGGATCGGGTTGCACGACTGCAATAAGATATATGAAATGGGATCGGGTTGCACGCCTACAACAAGATATATGAAATGGGATTGGGTGGCACGCCGTCACGGTGATATATGAAATGGGATCGGGTGGCAAGCCGCCACGGTAATATTTGAAATGGGATCGGGTTGCACGCCTGCAACAAGATATATGAAATGAGATCGGGTGGCACGCCGCCACGGTAATATTTGAAATGGGATCGGGTTGCACGCCTGCAACAATAATATTTGAGATGGGATCGGGTTGCACGCCTGCAACAAGAAAGAATAAAAGTGAATATTGATTCTTATAGTGAGAACGAGAGTAAAAGCACGAAGGGTGATGCCGTGCACTTTCTGTTTGCTATGCTTATTTGTTGTTACCAATTCAAGTGTGTTAACTGTTCAGATTCCTTTACCGTTGTGATCCTTTATGAAGGAACCCCATCATGTTTTCAATACTTCGCCATTTTTATATACATATTTTCAATACATTAAAATTTCAACAATTGTTTCATCTCCAATTCATTTAGTTACTCGATTAAATTTCCTTAAACCGTCTGAGGTTGTATTTTACTTAAAAATAGAATTTCTACTAAGTTAATTTATTAAATTCCTTGTTAAAGGTAATAATTCATTCAATGTTGTACTTTACTTGAAAATGGTACTTTCTTTATTCAAATGATTTCAAAAAAATAACTTTATCTTTTCTTGCTGCATTCCTAATTGGTTTAGAAGCTGTACACTACTTTATGTTATGTAAATCAGACTCCTCGAACATCTTAATTGTAATAGTTATGGACCCTATGAACTGAGTAACATGAGAACGTTGCTGTGTAAAGTGAGATAGAAATATGTGGGCACAAGGTGTCGGGTTGTGCTAAAAGTTTTGTAATTGAGGTTATTATATGAGACATCGAGTTTGAGATGGCTGGAAATTGTGCATCAGAAACGATATGATTTATTGAGCTGACGTCGCCTTCCTTGTATGGGTACATTTTTACTTGTCTGTGTTTAGCTATGTTGGTGTTAATTTATTTGGTTATCTTTCATTTCCACCCGTATTTCTCTTTAGTGTTTCTACTGATTGTAATTTGTTCTTTCCCTGCTGTTGATATTACTATGTCATTTCTAGGTTGATAGTTTATTATCAAATCCTATTCAATTTATTTGACCAGTAGGTGTCTGGACTGTTCCTCGTCACTACCCCACCGAGGTTAGTCTTGATACTTACTGGGCACCGCCGTGGTCTGCTCATACTACACTTCTGTACATTTTTTATGTACAGGTCCAGGTATTTGATCGGTAGTAGTTGTGCGGGTCATAGCAGTGGAGACTCAAGGTAAACCTGCTACAGTGTTCGCAGGCCTCGAAGTCACCTTCATTTGTACTTACTTCCATTTGTTCCTGTTGTTTCGGAACAGTGATGTATTTATTTTGCATAACTACTCTTAGAAAGGCTTGTGACTTGTACCACCGGTTTTGAAAATTATAATTTCTTTAAAGTAATTTAATTTAAAGTTAGTAAATATCAATGTTATTTCAGTTTATGTTAGGCTTACCTAGTTTAGAGACTAGGTGCCATCACGACTCCTTCGAAGGGATTTTTGAGTCGTGACAACTCCTTACCTCACTCCCTTATCACTTACAAATGAAAACACAGAGAAAAGGGCCTGTTGGAAACCCTCGCCTGACGTCGGCTATGACGAGACATCACAATTATCCTTTTTTGGTAATTCCAAATTTTATATGATCTTGATCAGTGATCAATATATTTTACTATTTTGGATCCTTATGTGTTTTACTTTGTTATACTAACGATCGCAGATCTATTAGTAAATACGAGACACTAAGCATTATTGAACAAAATAAATTCTTATAAACAACATTACCCAAATCACTATCTGGTAAGATTAATCATGATTCACTCATGACCAATACCAAGAATCTCAAACCAGACATAACAACATGATATATTACAAGTATATACAAAATTCTCCATTAACACCCAACAAGTACTTTCTAATCACAAAATTTAAATTATCTTATAACAATATTATTCATACATCCCACAAATTAACCCTAAAAAATTCTTCAGAATCACTTACAAATTAATATCAAGGAGCTTCAGCAAATACATTGACTCTAATGACAGAACCATCTTTAACATCATATGTAGATAAGATCTCATCACCTTTCATTTCAACTGAATTATGCCTAAGTAACATAAATTCACTCCCCCATGCTTGTTTTACAATCTTGATCAACTCATTAACTTTATCACTTCCTTTTACTTCCACTTGAAACTCAGACGTCGGCGACTCGACTTTTATTCTGACTTTCTGTTCTGTTGCCATAGTTATCATAGCCAAATTTTTCACCGAGGAGGAAAGAATAATCTTCCAAACGGACAGAGACCTAAATTTTTAGTAGGAAATTTTCTTGGCTTGGTTTGGTTTGGTTTAGCTTGAATGACTGAACAAGTGCACCTGTATATCAAAGACTTATAAACATAACAATTGGTTTAATTTATTGTTTTCAATAGTTGGCCAACAGATTTGAATTATTGTTTGTAGATAAGGAAGAAATAACAAAATAGAGAAGAAAAAAAATACAATATATAGTTAAGTAATGGAACATAAATATTTTTGTCTCGTTGACTATAAGGTTTTGAAAATGATGTGTTCTGCTGGATTTCTTGCACTTTGAAATCAAGGATATCTGTTAATCTGACTTGGTAAAATGATAATGAATAAGGAAAAATGAAATTATATTGTACTCTTAAAATAATAGTCGAAAAATAAATATTTTTTATACATATATAAATTTATGTATATAATATACAAAAACATATAAAAATTACATATTTTTGCGGCTATCAAATATAAATAGTTTCGACAGCAGGCTAAAAATAATCTTTGCACGATTTATAACAGATTGTTCTATCAATAAAAGAAATACTATGCCTTAAGCTACTTCTCTTCTTTAAAAAATTGCAATATCTTACTTCATATTATGATAAATATTTGCCAAAAATTATCTATAATTGTTACGCGTTGATTGATTTTGACCCAGTCAAATGTAGGTCACCAATGTGAGCTAACCTGATCCAATTAGGAGAGTTTAAGAAAGAAACTTTCAGTAACTAAGATTAACCATACATTTTTTTGAGTTATTAGGATTAATCACAAATTTTTAACGGTGATTAACAGAATAAAATGCAGCCCTTTTTATCCAACTCTATTCTGTATATGTGTATATATATATATATAAAACATTATCGCTGAATCTAAACACTATTTTTTAAACAGGTGATTAATTACTGATTATATGGGGATAGTATAACAATTTCTGGACAATAACCAAACATTGACTCAAATGAATATGATTAATTTTAAAATTACGAATTAAAAATGTACCATTAAGTTGAATAGTCTGTTTTAATTATCCATTTCAGAAGGAAGAAAAATAAAATAAAATCGAATCTTATCCTATTTTTGGCCAAAACATCAGATTCTCTTTGAAACATGTCAGTCTACATGATTTAGGTTATGCATTAAATTAATATCAAGCTGGCTTTCTATATTAAAGCAGACCAAAATATAAGAAATTTGATTTTGTGATCAATATATAACAAACATTGACTGACTAAACTGATTTTTTTAGTTACAGATTGTATCAGGCTCATACAATTAAATACAATTAAAATCGAACTCGAGAACTCTAGTTAAGGGTGTTTGGATCTTATCCCTCCCACGACAACCCTATGTTGTTACTCTATAGATGGATTCATGTATATTAATCATGTTAAGAAAAGAAGAAAAGGAAAATAAAAGAAGCCGAGACGGAAATTATAGAAGAAAATGAGGGATTTTAAACACAAGAAATTTTACCTTATTGAAGAGTATTTTAGCAGAGGCACTTGAGCTCAATAATTCATGCTGCTGTATTTCATCTTCTTCTTCTTGATATAGCCAGAGCAAGTAGCAACTAACTATATATTCAGTTTCAAGGTATCTTTCATTGTCCCATTCTTTACGGTTCACTTTGTTTGCAATAATTGGACTCCTTATTAATTGCTTCAATAATAGTTTTGACTCTTCGCCGAATAAGTTGGTTACTGCTTAGGGCCCAGGTTTTTTTGTCTTCTTCTACGTTCGTGAAAATAGCACGGGCTAGTCAGTTTTTGGATCTGTAATTGAAAAATAGCTAGCGTTTGTAAAATCATTGAAAAATAGCCACTATTTTGCTGTAACACCGAAAGTTCCAGCATAATACTGCAGATTGGTGCACCTTTGTATGAACTTCCAGCATATTATGCTAGAACTCCTGCCCACGGAAAGCTCTAGCATAATATACTGGAGATTGGAGCACATGTGTATAAACTTCCAGCACATTATGCTGCACGAATATATTATGCTGGAACTCCAATATATTATGCTGGAATATTTTTCGGATTTTGAACAGTGTTTTCGTTCAGATTTATCTTTACATGAAAAGTGGCTAAATTTCAATTACTTTTGAAACTGTGGCTTTTTTTCAATTACCACTTGTAAATTTGGCTATTTTTGAATTTCACCTGCTACATTCCCATTGTTGGTGTTCGGTATGTAAGGCCCCGTAAAATTTTACCTAAGAACCCGGAATTTCGTGGTGCCGAGATAGACTTATGTGTTAAAGGAAAATGTTGGTAGAAGAAGACATTTTTGCGGCCTACTATGCGGCCGTAGTATCACTCTGCGGACCATAGAATGGCCGCAGAGTGAAGAAGAAACTTGAGCAAAAATTTTGGACCAATTCGCGGTCCACTATGCGGCCGCACAACGATTTCGAAGGCCGCACACCGATCGCAGATTCAACTTGGAAATTTTTCGGAGGGAGGTTCTGGGCGCATTATGCGGCCGCAGAACAGGTCTACGGATCGCAGACTGGTCGCAGAGTGAAGCAAAAAATGCCGGTTCCGGAGGGCCTATTATGCGGCCCATTTTGCGGACCGATGCGACCGCAGATCTTGTTCCGGAACCTCATTTTTGGGTTTTATAACCCGACCCTACTTCGTTAAAATAGATGCAATGGACCATTTTGAGCAAAAACTGATACTTTTAGAGTGAGAGAGAATGCCCTAGAATGGAAAAGTGATCTTCAACAAATTATCCTTCAATTCTTGCTTAAGTCTTTGAAGATTATCAAGGAAAGCAAACTAGGTCTTCATCGTAGAGGTAAGATTCTACACCCTAACTCAGAATTTCGAAAATTTAACTAAAAACAAGTAATAAACAAGTCAATTTTTGGGTGTGGGAGTTGTTTATTTTGCATGCATGTGTTAACAAAGGGTGTAAGAAGATTGTGAGCTAAAAATGGTAAAGAATGAGTTGTGGGATGATGGAATCCTCCATAAAAGGACCTTGAAACCTTAATGCACACTTAGTGGTTGATAAAATGCTCAAATGAGCTAGAACCATGATCATCTTCTTAATTTTAGTTCAATTTGTTATTTCTAAAATAGATTGAAGTTGCTAAGAATTTTGAAACATTTTAGAGTTTAAGGAAGCACAATTGAGGTATGTTGGCTAAATCCCTTTTTCTTAAAATTGAATCCCACGGTGTTCATGTAATTGGTGTAAGTCCCAAATTGATCATGATAGAATTGGCTATTTCGAATATGCTTGTGTTGAAAAATATATGTTCAATAGGTATTCCAAATGCTTTTATCATGCTATGTTATCACTTGAGAATATGTTCAAAATATGGGTTGTGTGTTATAAATGTTACGACTTCAAGTCAAGTTTGAATAAAGGTTGTTATGCCAAATTATGTGAAAAATCCCTATATGTGTAAGACTCCTAATTGCTCACATATGTACTTAACATCTTGAATTTAAAGGCTTTGTTGTTGACAATGGTGATGATGTTTGAAAATAAATCAGGTGAGCACGAAATATGAAATACGGCCAAGTGCCAAGGATGATATTATAATTATGGCCACTAGTGCCAATGAATTGAAAAGATGTGAAAGAAGTATGAAGTGAGATGATTGATAGAAAAATGTAATGTCTCGGGTGAGACGGCCTAGCCGATCGGTCCGTAATCGGACACCATGCCGCACACATGGTGGTGACTATGCTGGAAATTATAATTGAAATTGTGATTGTAGTCGATGTCTCAAATGAGACGGCCTAGCGGATCGGGTCGTGATCGGACTCCGTATAAAAGTACGATGGTATTGTGAATGATGGTATATCGGTACTAAAGATCTCCCAATCTGAAAACATGAAAATTTACTTGAAAACTTTTGTGGTTCTTAACTTGATGTTTTGGTATTGTTTGAGACTTCTATTGATTTCATGATTGTTTCTCCCTTGTATTATTTTTCATTCTATTGAGATGGTGTTTAGTTATACATACTAGTACTATTCGACATTACAAACGTCCCTTTTGCCGGGGTCGCTGCATCTTTAAATGGATGCAAGTGGTTCCATAGCAGGCGGTGTTGATCAGCGATAGTGGTACACGCTCTTCCCAACAGACTTGGTGAGCCCCACTTCATCCTGGGGTCATGTATTGTTATTTTGTTCATATTATTATCACGTTTTGAGGTATAGCCTGAGCCTTGTTGCCGGTACTATCATAATACTCTTTTGTATCTTTTAGAGGCTCCGTAGACACAGTGTGGGTTGTACATGGTTGCTGAAAAAGACAAACAATTCAGGTTATGTGCAAATCACTTGTTCCACTTCAGACTATGAAAGTGAGTGTATTTTAAGACATTAAAAATGAAGTAACTAATGAAATGATCTGGTATTGTATACACGATCTCCCTACTGTCGAATTAATAAAAATATGTCTTCTCTTGATCATAGGTGAGTTGGGTAGAAAGTATCTAATAGGGTTGCTTGAGTGGGTTCACTCGGTTGGGTGCAGGTCGCGCTCCCCGAGTTTGGGGCGTGACACGAGATTCATATTAGGGATTTTTACCTATTTATATTATATCTGAAACTTATTTATCCTCCCTAATCAAGTTTTAACTTAATGAAATTGTCATATACAATTTATCAATTATATATAAATTAGTTTTAAATGAGTATCCCTAGACTGTAGCCTTTAATTAGTAAACCCCAAAAAATCACAATTCCTTACTTACATTCTATAATGTTTTTTCTTCTAAAACTCGTAATTTTTCTGACAATGACGAAGAAATGAGTTAATTTTTTATCGATTTGAATTTTGCCATGGCTGGAGTTTGCAGCTTTTCTGGGCATCTCCTTTTCTTGTTGGTGTTCTGATGGCGGACTAGCAGTAGATTTATATTAATTATTTGGCTGGATTGTTCGAAGCAAAATTGTCAATCAATAAATTTTGAAGGTGTTTGACTCTCCACCATTGACAACCATTAAAAAGTTTCGAAACTTTGAATTCGAATTTTAATTTTTAAAAAATATTTTTTGTTTGGATTAGGTATTGTTGCTAACAATTGGGAATATTATATGGTATTTATATCTTGATTTTGAGGGTATTTGATGAAGATTAGATTTGATTTGGCTGAATTTTCAGGTTGAAATTCGAAGAAGAAGCTGAAGAACACACCACATACAAAATATATACAAAATACATACAAAAGATATATTGTATAAAATTTTACAAAGGCAAAATACATAAGTTGCCACCGGAACTATGAACCAAATCCCTGTTACACACTTTCTGGGAACGAATATTACTTTATACACCCAACCTTTCCAAAGTGTATCTAAGGCACACCACTTTTTTCTTAACCAATTTTTCAGAATATGTTTAATATCACGCACCAATCAAACAATGACACGTGCCATTTAAAAAATAAAATAATTAAAATTATAATTATACCTCTCATCTTACTCCTCTAAACTACCATGGCCGTCTTCCTCCTCTGTCACCATCAAACACCATAGTCTTTTCCTCCATCTTTTACTTAATAATAAAGCCACCATTAACTAACAAAAATCATCAGAAAACACACCCAAAACTCCATCTTTTCCGCTGAAATTGAATCAAAATTTTTGAGTCCAGATCCAACTCATTTTCCATTTCACTTCTGTAAAAGTTCGACCGCCATTAACTGCCATCGCCACAAGTCAACTATTTAAAAAATCATCCATTATAAAATTAAAGAATATGCAAAAGCTTGAGCTAAGCTTTAATGGTTGAAAAAAAAATCGGAAAATTCTCGCTTCCTGAAAATTCGACTTCGCCATGGGTAAAGCTCAAGTTAAGCTTCTCTGCAACGAGAAGAGATATGAGAAATCGTTGTATGTCTATTTGAGAAGAAGGAGATCGGGTGGTGGAGCTCAAGGAGTAGTTATGGCAAAATTTTAAAAAAGGAAAAAGATGACTCGATTTAAAATTTTAAAAAACTAAAAAAAATTGACATCTGACACAAAATTCTTTTGTTCACGCGACTCTTTCGTTGGAAAAAACACGCACTATCCACGTAGACAAAGTAGTGTGTATTAGATACACTTTGGAAAGGTTGGGTGTGTAAAGTAATATTCGTTCCTAGAAAGTGTGTAACAGGGATTTGGGTCATAGTTCGAGGGGTAACTTATGTATTTTGCCTTTTACAAAAATGATATTTAAGTTGTATGATGTTGTAGTTGTATTTAACTAGGTAAGAATGCTGTATTATGAAAGTTGTAGATAAGTTGTATAATGTATAATTAGTTGTATGAAATTTGCTTTTAGTATGTATGTTGTTATAGATATATCAAATTTTGTATGAAATTTATTTTTAATTTGTATGTTGTTGCACTATACATTATTTTTTTCTAAAAATAGGTAATTATGGCAAAGAGAATGAAGAGATGCCCTAATTATGGCTTAAAATAGATAACACACAACTGGAAGGAGTATTATTTAGATGGAAGAACAATTTGAATTTCAATCCCTTCAGTTGCGTCCTTTTTCAAGCAAAGAATCCTAATTTAAGGTACTAATAATGGATTGTATATAAATTGTAAGAAAACTTGTTTGGTGGGTAATATACAAAATTTGGATAATTTTAATAAATAAGTTTCAAATATTGTATAGGA